TTTTCTATTAATTATTTTTTTTTTGTCCCAGCCGTTAACAATCTACGTGACTCCGCCAATGTGGATTTTTATTTATTTTTTTATTTTTTTCTGTGACTAAGCGACTAATACAATTTTGGTCGACCAAGCCTCTTCTGGTCAACGATTAGTCGTCTATTAGGGGGCAGCCCTAATGGATGGCTTGTACGAGCTCAGCAAATTCAATTCAATTCAAGTTTATTTGTATAGCGCTTTTTACGATACAAGTCGTTGCAAAGCAACTTTACAGTAAATTAATTTTCTACAATATTTAGTGGTAGCTTATCAGTGGCGACTGTCAGTTAATGTACATATGGCAGAAATGTATGGAAAAATCAATTAAAGACGTAATCAAACAGACGATGAACACTATTTGGATGTTGGATTGGACAAATGGATCCGCACTAGTCTTCCTTCAGCACACAGAAGGAGACAACACCGGTAATATCCACACAATGGAGTTTTATTGAATGGATTGGTTTGAAAATGGAGCTCAATGACTTGAGTTTGTGACTTAAGCCTGGCTCACACTATAGGATTTTTAGCCTCCCTATTTTGGAGCTCCCACCCCGTTTTGGAGTTCCCGCCCCCATTTCGAGATCTCCGGGCTGCAGTTAGACCCTTCTCTCTGACCTGATAATCTTAATAATATCTTGTAGTGTGTGATGCGCCACGATGTTAAAATCTTGTAGTGTGTGCATGTTTAAGATTTGAGGCAAGATAATCTGCAAAGATTCTCCTTATGTGTGTGCTGCAACCAAATTTCATAATCGGTTAGGATTTTAAAACTCCTGTAGTGTGAGCCCGGCTTTAGCTAACACGGTCTTTGAGGTTTGCAGGTTGGTGAATTAGCCGGAATGCTGAGGCAGACGATGGACGACGACTGGAGGTGCAGGTAAGTACAGCAGAAAAGAGTCAGGTAAGTGATGCACTATCGAACAACAAGACCAGACACTGGTGTGGTGACGGGAAGGTAGTTATAGGCAATGGTTGATTAGTGTGGACAGGTGAGTGGGTGGAGCTGGAGGATCTGGCGTGGCTGGTAACTCCGTTACATAAATGCTCAAACTCTTTAAAGTCAGAGGAATCTGATTGGCTGTTAAACACATGGTCTATGTTTTTATAATAAATCAGGAAAAAAATGTTCTGAAAGTATTTCCAACATATCTGTGTTGTTAGCGTTAAAACTGTGGTGTGGACATCCCTATTCTCATAAAATTAAAATGATTTTTAAAACTTTACTTTTATTGTTTTATCCTTGGTGTGAATGAGCCTCAATGCTATACTGTAAATCTTGAAGTTTTAACACTGTATTTTAACAATAAAGTATTGCCAATCACACTTGTCTGTTTTTACTGTAAGTTTAAATGTCATATTATAAAGCTTAAATGTACCTGGTGTCCCTCTGGTGCGTGTCCTTTAATGACAGACAGTGCATCGTGAAGAGTCAGTCCAGTGCTTTCTCCTTCACCTACACCCATCACGTCACACAAGACCAGAGCTGTGGGCTCGTTTGCATTCTCTCCTGCTCCTCTGATGTTGTACGAGCGAAGCTAAGATGCACCAAAGAAAACAGGAGAAAACTAACCACTACTTTCCACAAAAAGACTGCAAAATATAGCTTGAACCTCTCAACATATGAAGACAACAAGTCAATGAAACCTTCAGAACCTTCCAAAAATGATTCTGTTTGACCACAAACTTTTGCCAGTTCTAGTCACATTTACCTTTTTAGTGAAGCTGGTGGAGGATGAAGAGCCCACCATGGCTCTGTTGATGACCCGTCCAGAGAAGACAGACTGGACAGAGCTGATGAAGCTGGACTTTCCAGCACCGACTGGACCGACCAGCAAAACTCTGGCTTCGGTAACCGTCTCACTGGCTGGTTTAAATGACCTGACAGACTCCATCAATGTCTCTCTCACTCTAAACACAAAGTTTAAGTCAACATTAAAGGCATTTGATACCAAAAAAATCCAGTTTTAACCCTTTCGTGGACAGATATTTGTAAGCCAATTTGAACCATTTAAGTTATAGTACCATGTCCCAACCACCAACTGGCAAACCCCCAAAGTGTTGTCGACGAGTCCATCTAATTATTGTCTTTGTAACTCTTTTTTTGTTCTGAGATATTGCATAATATAGTCAAAAAGCCAGAAGGAAGAGGAGACGCACCAAGTACCTCAGGAATAAGTGTTAAATCCTTTTATTCTCAGAAAACCAGACAGGTACAAAAAATATGTTTCAGCTAAACAGGATATCATAAATACTTTCCAGATTTTAACAATATTTTGTACTTTTTTTTTTCTGTGACAGAAAATATATCTGTCCACTCCAATGGACGCCATGCACCAAAGGGTATAATTCTGCCTATAGGCCTATATATATATTCTGCCTTATTATTATTTTTTTTTAATTATGATACTTAAACTTGATGATAATTGACTGATCATTTACACTTGAATGGTTTTATTGAACAGAAATATTAAATAGTCTTAAGATTTGATCATTTTTTATTTTATTTGATCAGTTTTTATTGATTTATTTCAAGCTTACAGTCTATATTTATTTATTATGTCATATACAAGTGCAGGCATGTATACATGTATACATTTACATGTGTGCATGATTGCGTTCGAGTGTGTGTTTGTATTTGTGCTCACATGTGCATGAATAGCCCAACACCCATACACACACACTCCTACCCTTTGTTTGTTACACTTCACTTTTCTGTGCTGTCATGACATATCTTGTTGTTATTTAATATTCATACGTGTATTCATACTATTTGCTCATAGTAAATGTTTTAAGACCACACATTAAGTTCTATTGATTCACTTTTTATACCTTTGATGCATGGTGTCCACTACAGTGGACAGATATGTAACTCCCTCAAAATAAAATATATTTTTAATTTATATATATAATTTTTCACTTGTGTAAAAGTAAAAACAAACATGATTTAATAATTCATGCATGAAAGGGTTAAAGTGGTTGGTCTACTTACTCTTCACTCCACTCCATATTTCTCCACTCATTTTCCAATAAGGATGAAACTTGAAACTTGGAACTTGGAACTTGTTAAAGTATAAAATCACTAGTTATGAAGCGAACAGTTAGAGTTGATTAAGTATTTGCAATATTGTTTGAATATGTGTATAATACCTTCAAGAATAGGAGGTGGAGTTGCATTTTCAGGTGTGCTAGGATAATTGGAGCCTGAAGAGGAGGCTGGACATATACTGACTAGTGTGCTGAACACTGGGGATGGGGTAACATTGACTTCTTCAGGTATGCCAAAACGGAATCCTTGATTCATCTTTGATCAGAGAAGAGAATGTTTTCTGATCCGTCTAGAATCAAAGGCAATCAAAGACAGCAGCACACGATACAAGATTATATAAAAATATAAAAAGTATATAAATATATAAAGTACATAATATATGTTATATACTATGTATTATATGTTATTGTTAAAATTATGGTGCTAGATTCTCTTTGTAATTAAAAAAATAATACGTTTTAAATATATTTATACTGATATAGTTGTGCAATTGTAGAAAAAAATCGAAAAATTACATACTTTTGATGATAAGATTTTATTATTCACATTAAATTATAACCATATTATAATACCAATTCTTTTTAGGGGGTCGAAATGTGACTAGTTTGCATCACCCAGAAATTTTCATTGAGCACAAGGTGGCTCAATGCAAATCAAATTAAAACAGGTTTTGTTTTTTTACATAGGCCTAGTTTTTATGACATGTCATTAATACCGCAAAATATAGCGTTTTAACGACACAGTATCTCGTTTAACGACATACCATCTAAGAAAGTATATCTTTTAAACGAATAGCATCTCGTTACGACGAGAAAATTTGTTTTAAAGAGAATATGTGGTTTTTAACGACAAAGCATCTCGTTACTACGAGAAAACCGTCATAAATACGAGAAAATATATAGTTTAAACGACATAACTCGTTATTGCCACAGCTGAGTGGGGGGGAAAATGTAGCAGCAAGGCGCCACAGTAAAGTCTTTTAGGGGATCGAGATGTGAATAGTTTGCATCACATATATGTCAGATCTCTCTCAAACTTTCAGAATCGGTCAGTGCATTACCAGGGTTATTATTATCGGTTAGCATAACATTTTTGTGAGGAACACAACTCAGGTAGGTTATTGCAAATCAAACTAAAACATACTCACAACAAAGAGAGCGGTGAAACCAAGTGAAATGTGTCAATTCTGAGAAAACGAAAGTACTGTAGAGTTTGTTGTGTTTGTTTGATATCTGGCCAGTAGAGGGCTGCCATTTCATAGATTATTGTTAAATGGAAAGCCAATATAAATCAGCAACACACTTAAATACCAAGTAAAAAATGTTTCACGTCTTTCAAGACGTTATTTTATAAGCACATTCGCTAAGAAGCATACTTGTAATTTTGTTTCGGAAGATCCCAAATGATTCTTACTGCTGCTTAGAGAGAGATGATGGTGTAGGTGCTGAGTAATATATCTCAACACAACCGTATTGACCAATCAACTTTCAGGACGGAATTTCATCCAGTTTTAAGATACTTTATTTTTTGCTGTCATACAAATTAACGCATACCGTAAGAAATTTGCAGTTTTCTGGATGATTTTCATAGCCCTTACACCATTGCAGAAAGGAAAAAGAAAAGAAAAGAAAAGAAAAAAAACACTGTACTTCCATTCATAATTTACGAATTTTATTTAACATTTGAAAATATGCTTACATTTATGGAATTCAGTACTGAAACATTTAAGCCTGTTAGTGACATTAACTACACTTGCTATGATACTATGATATTTGTTTTCTTTTTTGGCTTGTTAAGAATTTAAATTTCTTGGCTTTCACTACATATATTTTCATATATGCTTCACAAAAAAATACTTTACTTTGCTACAGTGTTCACACACAAGTCATTTGATGCACTAACATTTTATCTTGCTTACACTGCGAAACCACACTTTCCACTGAATGTTTTAATCTGGAAATGTATTTGGTACAAATTACTGTACTAGAGAAGTGTTTATCTAGCCAGTATAGCGGTGTCTGTTCATGTATTGACAAAGGCGGTGCAGTTCTGTAAACAAAACATAATATTTTAATTGCCCTCATTTTCTCTCTAGAAGAAAACAAACTTGCTAAAGGTCTCACTGACAGACCAAACAAAATAATAAAAAATACTGTGGAGTGCAGGATCTGTACAGTGAAACACTGGAATACATCTGCCATTTATAAACATATCAAGTGTTAACCTGCATGTCTGACTCTATTCTGCCATAGTTTTCCAAATGGCATCAAAACTGTGCAAAATGTATAAGTAATGTAGGACCATAAGATATGGTAAACTGTTCAGATGAAACTTGATGCTAGATAATCAACAAGATGCAATGAATAAAATCACATCGACAAGTGTAAAACTGCTAAAAATAGCCATAAAGAAAAGAAATGGCAACATAGGATTCTGTGTGAACAGAGTAGACTAACATTTCAATAAGCAGCAAGTGTAGATGTGTAGAAGTGTTAACATTACAGATAAGTCATTCCTGATGAATGGAACTGAAATGCTTCGTCCTGCTGCTCAAGATAAGACGTGAGAAACTGAGAGACAACATTTTGAAAGTGAACAGAAGTGCTCTAGTGACAGGCAGGGGTGTGATTCTTCAGGTGTCTTTAAAACTCCACTTTGCATGCTGGGAAGGTCTCGTCCTGCATGGCTACGGTGCTGTTGCTCCCAAGTACCGTGATCGCTAGATCTCTCTGCCGTTCGTGGGTCTCCTGGTACCAGCGGTGCATAGCCAGCGAATCAAACGTGGGGATCAAAGTCACCTGTAGGTGAACAGAAAAGCTATTAAACGACTACTAATCAGTGAACTGGTCAAGTATCTAACTGTCTTTTGTGTGAATTTCAACCTCTGTAGAGATCTGACGTGTTGAGTGCGAGTAAACATTGATGTATTCCTTTAAAATTGGACAAACAATACTATGGATTATTCAGAAGGTTCTACATTGGGCATGTACACTTGTTATGTTCTACTGCTGTAAAGCACTTTGAGCTTGGGAAAGGTGATATAAATAAATAAAACATCTACTTACCTGAACATCTGGCCAGGATGCTTTGCCCTCTAAAAGAGAGTTGAGAATAGATCTCATGACTGTCTCCTTGTGTGGCACATCTCCACTAATTATATAGCAGGATGAGCGGAGGCGCCGGAAAAACTCCACATCGACAGTGGAAGCTGCTGAGCCAGAGGGCAAATATGCCAAGTCCAAACAGATGGGTACTGAACTTGAATTTGCACTGACAGAACCTGCAAAGGAAAGCAATAACATTATGCACATTTGGACTTCAAAGCAGATTTACTGATCTCCCTCCATTTATCCATTCCAATATAATGTGGCCTAATGGTTAGAGAGTCGGACTCGTAACCCAAGGCTGCAGGTTCGAGTCTCGTACCGGCAGGGATTGTAGGTGGGGGGAGTGAATGTACAGCTCTCTTCCACCTTCAATACCACGACTGAGGTGCCCTTGAGCAAGGCAACGAACCCCCAACTGCTCCCCGGGCGCCGCAGCAATGGCTGCCTACTGCTCCGGGTGTGTGTTCACGGTGTGTGTGTGCACTTTGGATGGGATAAATGCAGAGCACTAATTTCCGAGTATGGGTTACCATACTTGGCCACATGTCACGTCACTTTTCACTTTAAAAAATGTATTGCCGCTATTCACTGGAGCTGGTTGGTCTGATTCAAGTTTTAGAATTCTTATTAAAGATGTTCACTGAACACCAGTGAACTAACAAATGGACAATATATTCTCAGAGTTCAGGTCACTGGTTTGCATTGACCAAATTGATTGTCTTGAAGGCAGTTGATGTCTTACCTAAATTGTAACAAATGATGGTTGTAGCATTAGCGCTTTTAAGGGCATAAATTTAAGCCTTGTTCAGACTGTCAGTCCAAATTAGGGCTGTGCGATATGGACAAAAAAAAAACTATCGCGATTTCTTTGATCAATATTGCGATTTTGATTTTAATCACGATTTTGACACACACAGACATGCTTTACAGTCATTAATGCATTCATTATTCCAAAAGAAATATTTTATATTTCCAAAAGAAATATATTATATATTTCCAAAAGAAAACCAATTAGAGCTTTATTAAAAAGCTGTAACTAGAACAGACATAAGGCAAAATAATCACTAAGTGAAGTTGTAACAAAATGTCTTTAGAATAGACATATGGCAGAAAAAAAAAATCCCGTGTCCAGGGATTTTGCCATGCATTGGTCATAGAGCTATTAATGGTGTAATTACTAAATTTCCATGTCAATCCATGTAAATTTTTACCGCGAATACGCGGTCACTTTAATTCAGCGCGTGCAGCACAGCAGAAATAAGACTTGCGCCTGTGTCGAGCTCGTCCGTCCTCCGCACTCATCCACGGTTGAGTATACTTTGAAAGCTGTGCGGACGCGGCTGTGCGCCAGACGGAACGGAACTCGGAGAGTGAAGTATACCCGGGCCTATAAACTCCGTGCGGAAACAATCGCAGCATGACTGCTGCAGACGCACCGCTCCTGGAGCGCACTGCCGGACCGCAACCGCGTGCAGTGTGAACTCTCTGATCCGTTAACATGGGCGCGGAAAAAATACGCACCACAGACGGAGTGTGTGAACCTGGCGTTACGTTTGTATGCCCGCCCGGGTCTGTTCTGTTCTCGTGCTCCATTTAAGCGCGCTGCATTCTGATTGGTTCGGACAGCATACTGCGGGAGGTCGGGGGCGCGGAAAATAAAGCCATTTAGAAATCGCGCAAGCTCAAATCGCGATTTTATGACGATTTCGATTAATCGCACAGCCCTAGTCCAAATCCAATTTTTGTGCATATCCGATAGAAATCCGATCATATTTTGCAAGTGTGAAAGGCAAAAACATCACATGAAATAGGCCTACAATTAAAAAAAATCTGTTTCAAGCTACATTCATATGTGGTTTGAAATCCTACTCAAATCACATTTCAGGAAGTCTGTTTCAGTCTGACCGCTCTCATTGAAATTTGCATAGCTTTTTGCTCATCTCACTTTCTCATGCAGCGTAAAACGTAAACACATCAGACGTTGTTAGTAGAAAATAAACAGAATCTCTTTGCAGAAACAAGGTTGTGTTGTTTCGAAGTGCAAGTCGAGAGAAAAATTACAAATACTACTGGTCTACAAAATGTGCATTCCAGCTTCCTACGTTTCTCCCGCTGCCTCAAGACGTAATAATCCAGCAAAACGACAACATGTTTTCATATTGTAATACAACATCTGTATTGCAAACCCCGTTGCTGTTGTTTTTTTGCGTAGGCATACCAATGCACCGTCATTTACGTAGAAACCAATGCAGATATTCAGTAAAACGTAACAGCGTCACAAGACACACAAATCGCATCTGAACAGTTGCGATACACAATGAGGACAGTCAGACATTTAGATCAGAATTCAAGCAGATACACAAATAATTGGATATGACTGACAGTGTAAACATAGCTTTGGAGATGCAACCTATTAGAAAATTTAAAGGTTATAGTTAACGTTAAAATCCCGTCAAGAGATATTGTGCCTTTAAATTCCTTTTCTTTAGTTTATCATCTCTAAAAATAAGCCTCACTAACTGACTAGGCGAATATCCTAACAGATCCCCAAGATATGTACAAGTCATATATTTCTAGAAGAAGCAATGAGAACTTACTGGATGAGGACTTTGAAGGCACTGGTCTAGATCCACTGACAGCATTGCGGGATGCAGGTCTGGTGTCCAGACTGGATGTTGGCCGAATAGTTCCACTGGCAGACACCGGAGCACCAGTCTTTGTCTTCCCACTCTGCGTTATGATGTTTGCAGATGCAGTCTTTGTGGACACAGGTGCTGTTTTTTTGGTCTTTGATGTTACATTCTTGGAAGATCTACCCTGACCATCAGCCTCTGGGTCAGCCATGCAGGCACCGGGCTGGGGTGGCAGTGGTGGTAAGTCCTTCATGGGGGCAGGTGGAGGGTCTTCAGTGACATGCTGGGAATTGTGGTGTACCGAATGGCTGCTAGGATGGTCGTGAGGGTGGTTGGGTGGAAAGATGTCACTAGGGTCCTCATCAGAGTCCAAGTCCTCAGAAATGGAGGGACACTCTTCGGTGGCTGGTGGCACATCAGAATCAGAAACCGAGATGAGAGAGACGCTGACAGAGGGCGTCGTCTCCTGACCTTC